AGAGGCCCGCCACCCTCAGCTTTGAGATCTGTAAGCGGCGAGCCTCCATGTTCACTCTACTAAACGGGGGACAGCACAGGCCAGGAGCACCGCCCAGCTGCTGGGAGGCGGGGCTTTGCGGGGCTACAGCAGGTGCTGGGTGACCTGTGCCCGCCTAGTTTCAGGACAGCACCGCCAGCTGAAATGCTCATTCCCAGAACTCAATTGACTTCTCAAACCAGGATCAGCAGGGGGACCCGAGGGGTCTCTATCTGATGGACAGGGTCTTGGGAAGAGAAGGCAGAGGAGTCAGTGCAGTGACCAGCCACCAAACAAGTGATACAGGGCACTGCCACCCTCTACCTGGAGGGAGAGCAAGCTGGCAGGCTTCTGGGTTTTGGGTTGCAATTCCAAAGAGCTCAGAGTCCCCAGCCTGGCCACAATCGTTGTGATTACCCAGTGACTCCAGAAATCTTGCCACCACCTCCCCCTGGTCCTGTGGGCTGAGAATCGCATCCTAATGGAAAGATATGCTGATGGGAACATGTTGTGCACAGGATAGGGGTGGAGGCCAAGAAAGGAGCAGATTCTGAGAGAACAGGCCCTGCCTGGCCTCCCTGCATCCTGCCCACCCATCCCAGTTAGTGTTCGCCTCTGAGGCCGCCCAGGGCTCCAGGCAACTTTCCTGTGCAAACTCGAGACCCCATGGAGAGAGATTGGTGGCGGGGAGAGAAGGAGAGAGAGAGACATTGATGTGAGAGAGACACATGGATTGATTGCCTCCTGCATGTGCCCTGTCAGGGCTGGAGAGCGAATGTGCAACCAAGATACCTGCCCTTGACCAGGAATTGAACCCGAGACCCTTTGGCGTGCAGGCCGACACTCTACCCACTGAGCCAAACCAGCCTAGGCAAGTCCATGTAATTAGATGGATTGCCTGGGACAACTGGAGTGAGTAGCAGATTCTATTTTCTGGTGCTGCCACCTGATGTCAAGAGAATGTGGTCAGGCCACCCTTAGCCAGTTGCACCTTTTAACAGACGTCTGCGGCCTGCTGGGCCCCACTCCATGAGTCCTGCAGACCAAGCACATGCTGGAATGAACCTCCCGTGTCTAATGACATTTACTTCCCCAAACGCCAGACAGAGCTGGGCAGGTAATAAGTTCCTCATACACGCATGTTGCTCAGCTGAAAGTTCTACCCTGAGAGCTTAGTTTGAAAGCCTACAAGCTCCCGGCCATTCCCACTCCACACAGCATGGCTCTTTCTGTAGAGACGGAGCGGAGAGGAGAGAGGAGAGAGGAGAGAGGGCCCACTGAGCACTGCAGGTGGGAGGAGGCAGGAATGGGGAGAGGAGGGTGGATTGAGCCGAAGTCCGCTCCCTTGGTTGTGTCAGGGGCTGGCCCGCTACGTGTGCGGTGAGACCGCCGGGCAGATGGACGAGAGCTGCAGTGTCGCTTCCTGTCTGTCCAGGTCCCTCCTTCCTCGGTCTCCGTTTCTGTGGCCCTGAAAACTGCCCGGGTGTGGGCTGGGTTGGTCACTGCTGACCCCTCTCTGCTGAGTCTGGCCACATGGAGACCTCAGGAAGCAACTGGACATTTACCTCCCCACATCTCGGTCACAAAACAGCAGCCACGAGCTACGCTGCCATAAGACAAGTGGAAACAGAATACAACGACCCCCTTGTGGAATCTTCCCCAGGACCAGCCAACATACGTAGAAGGAGCTCAAAACGCAGCTGCTCCCCTTTCCACAGGGCCTGGCCCTATGGCAGTGGCTCCCTCCTAGGTGGACTAGAAAGACATTTGTCCATGGTACCTCACTCCAGAGGGAGCCACATTCTAACTGAAATGCCTACCCAGTGGCACTGTGGAGAACTAGCCAGTGAGCAGCTGTCTTGACAGAGAAATCCTTTTACAGATTCCAGCTTCATTTAAGCAGGTATTCAGAGTAATGGAAGTTAACATTTATAACTACTTCCTGAAGTTTTCCAGCATGCAGATGTCTGGTGCACCTGCGGTATAACTTCTCAACAGACAAGGGTTTGAGACCTGGCCCCGCCTCTCCTGGGGCTGGTCCGCTTCTCCTCTTTGGGTTCTGGGGAAATTAGAGCTGCTGGAAACAGAAACGGCTTCCCCTTCACCCTTCATTAGTCTGTGCTCCGCTTCACTCCAGGCGCTGCCACAGTCGTGACAATTTTGTGGCTCAAGAAATGCGCTATTTGCTCATCCGCTCTCTGTTAACCCGCCTCCTGGGTGCCAGCCCATCCTAAGGAGCAGGAGACACTGAGAGGTCTAAGACACTGTCCTGTCCTTCAGAGGATTTGTCATGAACTTAAGGAATGACAGAGACAGACATGTCTACAGGTAAGTTACTGTGTGATACATATCACTAAGTGCTGCACTCAATGTCACTAAAACCGGAGAAGGAGCAGCGGGTAGGGGATTGGTGGTGGTGGTGGTGGTGGGGGGGGGTGGAGCTGCCGACATGGGCTCCCTGGAAGCAGAGACTGAGTCAGCGATTCCTGGGCAGTGATTTATTGAGAGGGTTTCCTCAGGAGGAACCTGGAAGACAATCATGGAGACAGGCTAGGATGGGGATGAAGCCAGGCAAAGAGAAGGTGTCACTTGGGTTTCATTTCAGCTGATCTGATAGAAAACTCTGGAATGTGCAGGGCACCACGGAGGCACCCTGCTGTGGGGGAAGGTGCTGCCTGCTCCCACCTGCTGGGGAGAGGGGCGGGGTTAGTGAGGAGCTGGGAGTGGCACCTACTAGTACACAGCCTGTTGCTACAACTCAGCTACAACCAATGAAACTCAAGTTGGTGTAGAAGCAGGACTCAGCACACAGAGGTTAGTGGTTATTTCTCTTCCCATAAAATGGCTATTGAGAGTAAAACTCTTATGCTGACAACATGAGGAATGGTCACAGAAAATATAAACACATTGATTTGTATAGAATAAGTATAAAAAGTGATCAGAGGTCCCCTCTACCCCCAAAGCACTAAGCAATTAGTTTTGTGGGAGATTTCTACCAAGTAGCAGACGATTCCAAGTCCACCTGATGTGTTTCAGAGCCTATGAAGATGAGGAAAACTTTCCAATTGCTTTATTATAAAACTAGAGGCCTGGTGCACAAAATTTATGCACGGGGAGAGGGGGTGTGTGTCCCTCAGCCCAGCCTGCACCCTCTCCAATCTGGGACCCCTCCGGGATCGGGCCTAAACCGGCAGTCGGACATTCCTCTCACAATCCAGGACTGCTGGCTCCCAACTGCTCGCCTGCCTGCCTGCCTGCCTGATTGCCCCTAACTGCTTCTGCCTGCCAGCCTGATCACCCCCTAACCACTCCCCTACCAGCCTGATTGACACCTAACTGCTCCTCTGCCAGCCTGATTGCCCCTAACTGCCCTCCCCTGCCAGCTTGGTCACCCCTAACTGCCCTCCCCTGCCAGCCTGGTTGCCCCTAACTTCCCTCCCCTACAAGCCTTGTCACTCCTAACTGCCCTCCCCTGCTGGCCCAGTCACCTCTAACTTTCCTCCCTTGCCAGCCTGATTGCCCCTAATTGCCCTCCCCTGCCAGCCTGGTTACCCCTAACTGACCTCTCCTGCCAGCCTGGTCCCCCCATCTTCCCTCCCCTGCTGGCCTGGTTGCCCCTAACTGCCCTCCCCTGCAGGCCTGGTCCCCCCTAACTGCCCTCCCCTGCAGGCCT